ATTTTTTTTTTTACATATTTTGATTGCTATGTCATTATCGTGTCTAATGATTGTTAACGATCCTTTAAAGAGTTTATGATCCAATTTCCTTGCTATGAATTTAATTGGGACCTAAATATTATAATCTTATGGTGTAAAAAAGTGGCTTGCATTTAATCAAGGGTGGTATATTGGAGTAAGCTCTAACAAGGTCACAGAACTCCTCATAGGGCAAATACAGGCCGTGAAGCTTCACATTGCTGAAGGATGAGGACTAGACAGGCTCAATCAGTTTCAGAAATAATATTAAATATATCACCTTAGTGCCAGTTTTCACAGATGATCTCTGCAGAATACACACTGCTGTGGGGTGTCAATAATTGGGTTTCAGGGCATAAAAATATGTTATCTACTTAGTCATGTTATTTGTTTTCTGTCATATAAGTGGTATTCAGATTCTTTTCAAAAACGTTCATACTGTATATCATGCAATGTAAATACAATCCATTAAGGGTTAAAGTTCCGTCTTCAAAGTTTTACTTCGGGGATGCTATATTCCTTTGAAAGGAGAAATCACGATTTTTCCCTTATAAATAAAAGCTGAGTGGTCTGTTAAAACTAACTTAGAGGTTTTGCAGCTATAGTCTGACAGGACCTTTAGCTTCTGACCACTAATGCAGGCAAACTTAAGAAAGACATTTCAGCTAAACTGACATTAACACATCAGTGGCTTCTCTACTTGTGTTTAACGGACAAACAAGAAGTAAACAAGCCACACAAATACATTTTGTTGTTTTCTGCTTGTGGTCTCGTTCCTCTTGTTCTCAGTCAGGTCTCAGATGATCATTAGATCTTTAAAGCAACTCTATCAAGTGAATCACAATAATATTAAATAATATTGACGCTCGATTGCCAAAATTTGCAAAATGTCACTTTAAATAAAGGTTTTACCATGTCCTTAAAGTATAAAAATCTCATTGTTCAAAACAAAGTGGCCTCAGAATGTTACAGTATAAAAAATTATAATACAGGATCATTTTTGTTGATGCATTAATATGTAAATACTGTAGCTATAATTTCATGACTTGATGTGGAAATTGTTCTACCTATTGTATATACTGGAATAAATATTAAATATACTTCATATTAAATATTTATTAAACATTTTTAATTACTTCCACTGTTCATAGTATTAATATGAAGAAAAGTGTCAGTTTATTGTTGCAATGGTGAAACACTTGTCAGACAAGAAAATAATTTCTTACATTGCAAACAAAGAAATTTGTCTCCTGTCTCAAGCTCTACAAATAAAATTGGCCACTAGAAATTTTATTTACAGTACTAAACAATTCAGAAAGTGTAAATAATAATAATCACCTTTATTTGGCCAAGTATTTTACACACAAGGAATTTGTTTCCGGTACAGAACCGAGGCAGCCATCTGTGGTGCCAACTCAACCGACGGCTCTAACCATCAGGGGCAACTTGGGGGTTCAGTGTCTTGCCCAAGGACACTTCGACATGTGGACTGCAAGCACCGAGATTCTAACCTCTGGCCCTCCAGTTGGGAGACGACTGCTCTACCCACTGAAACACAGTCACCCCCCGAGCTCATTGAGTTTCTATTTACTACAGTGATCCGACCAGCAGACCACATCAGAAATGATGACCTTTTAACTAAAAATTCTAGTCCCAAAATCATAAAATACTAAGCAATAAAACATGAAGTGGACATGACAAACAACAGACCATATTTATTAACCTAAACATAACTGTACACATAAGGATCGTTAACTTTTGGTTAAACACTATCTCACATAACACTTTATACTGTAATTGTCTTCATGAGACACCAAGTTTGTGATTTCGGTGTGTGCTGAACAAACAGCTCATCTTTCATTAAACATAATGAATTTCTAATCAGCCCAATCTAATTATTTCTGAAATATCCACAGCACACACTGGAAGTGTAAATTGCAGCACATAGATCTTTCACTTTTAAATGAGACTGACCTCATTTATCAGCAAAATAATCTTTGGCCTGAATAATTATCAGACATACAAACAAAAACACCTTCAGAAAATCTGAAGTGAGGACCTGCTCGCCTCTTAAGTTTATACAGTCACGTGACCTGACCAGTGCCCTAGTTGAATGCCTCTTAGATGTTTATGCATATATGGACACTAATCTCTCAGTAAGGACTATGGGATTTGGGAATATTTTGTTTTACAGAGATCAAAGTAATCTGCTTGGATAAGGTGAAACCCTTCAAACACATCAAACAAGAGAGCAATCCATCCAGAATCCCACGCCCACTGTAGCCAATCAAACGATAACTCTTACCTTTGTAAGAGAAGAAAAAAAAAAGATTCCCAATCTGGGTCTCCCTCCATGAACAACTCATGCAGCTCACCCCCCACAGAAGCCAGGAGTTAAGGCTTACGGACTACCAAGCAGAGCCACTGCACCCTATCTGTATGGCTCTCATACTTGGCTAACATGATGCTGGTATTGCGGAACAGAGATGTGTTAAGGGATCAAAGCAGCAGTACAGAGATTTAGACTCACAGCCTATCAGTCAAAATGGTGAGACAAAGCAGAAGACAGAAATGCTTACATGCACACACACTCTCCTGTTCACTTGCTGGCTTCCTCTGTGGTGTGCCTGTGAGGGGTGAGGCATTACTGTCAGATGGCTTAGGGGGTACTCATTTGTAGACATCTACAACGCTGCATGAACACCACTCACAAGCTACTGATACTGTGTGGATGAGAGGTCACTTCTAGCCTTCATACTGGCCTGTGGAGAAATGTTTTGTGCTCTCAGCAGTTTCCTTCTTCTGGAAGATGAATAGAACTATTTTACTGACAACAGTGAAGAAAACAATGTGGTTAGATACATTATGCACAGGCTTCATTTCAAGGTTTAGTTTTTTTTTTGGTCATGTTTGCATCATATCTCAAATACCCTTTTGTGGATGGAGCCTGGACATAAAGGATCAAAGGACATCCTGCAGTACAGAATGAGCATTGCCCATGTCTTCTCTTTTGCAAAATATTTTGGACATGTATGCGATCACTCCTGAATGGTCTGTTTTTGTACTGTACAATGTTCTACCAGTATATCTGTTCCTTTCACCTAATGCAACAGGAAAGATAATTTCCTGTTTGTAAAATCCATCGGAAAACTCTGTCTCTAATAAGGGAAGGGCTATAAGACTAATACGACTGGATATTTCAAATTAGGATCAACACAATAAAAAATTTGAGAGGGATTTAAAAATATATCTTTAAAATCACAGCATTTGATTGCTTTTAAAAAGCAGGATTGGGTATACTCATGAGATAAGAACCTGACATATAGTAGTTAGGACATCCAACAGCTTTAGATTGAAAAGAGAATGACAACACCACCTGGTGGCCATGGCCCATAACACTTCAATTTAGACTTTGTTCATCATTGATGGTCACATGGACAATGGAGCTTGCAAAATAATTGAATTCAACAATGCTTTATGCTTACATAACATTTTAAACAATTCTTAACAAGTAATTGTCAATTCAAAATACAAGAAAATGTTATCATGAAAAGTTCAACATATAGCTATCAGAAACTATACATGTGCTCATAAAATTAAGGCAGGATGCTAATGCTAATTCCACTCTGAAGTTGCACTTTACACATGGCAGCAAGGAGAAAGTTGAACTAAACCCAAATTTGAGGCAGAACAGCTGAACATGCCCCTCTTTCTGAGGGGCATAGGATGTATAGGAAGAGGACTGAGGTCAATACCGCTTATACAAAGATGCAATTCAAAGCACAAAACAAGAGCATGTTAACCACAGAGGAAGTGCAGAGGACAGACTGCCAATACAAAGATGAATCTGACTGGAGAAACCATAGAAGGTACAAATCCAGGATCATGATCCACTTAAAAAGTCCCAAATTAAGATTGTCGATTTTCATCTTCAATTTGTGCAGTTTTCAGAAGCCTGAAAGAGAAAGTAAAGATATAATAGTGATTCATTATCATTATAGTGCTTATATATATATATATATATATATATATACATACACACGCACACACACACACACAAGTAAACTGCACCTGCTTCATTAGAGAGCAACAATTCTGCACAAAACAAAAATATGATTAATTATTCTGGTGTATGCACTTTTAGTAGATAGTATGATATTACTCTTACATGTACAATACCATGCTGGCTCTGCTCCACTATTTTTATACAACTCTAGTTTTGAGCTCTGTATATTTATTGCTTGCCTTGTACTGTTCTTATACAGTTACTCTTAATTATTTACACTTTCCCCTTTATTTACTCCTTTGTGTCCTTATTTTGCTGTATCATGTGAATTTCCCTCTGGGATCAATAAACGTTTAACTTAACTGACAATAAATAGCAAACACTTTGTGGTTACTGCTGCTTAAATATGAGCAGTTTCTGCTTCTCTTTTATGTATAATTTGCCATTTACATAGGCAACTAATAAAATTTCACAACAAATAATTGTTTGATGAACAGATCTCACATGAAAGGTGTAATATAGTTGAGTTTATATAGGAGATTAAATGACCTCTGTGGTGAGATATAAAACATTCCCTATGATAATGACAAACATTTGGGAGCACGTTTCTGTACCTTAAGGGATTCAGATGCTTTTCGTAGTTCTTTGATGACTGAAGACAAGGCTTCTGGGTTGATGCCCTGTTCACACAGCCTCACACATATGGACAAAGACTCCATGTCCAAACCAGTGTTCAGCAACCTGGAGATCTCCAGCAGCACTGTTAGAGGCAGAAGGCCACAAAATAATCTAGTTAGATTAATTTTCCAGTAACATCGGAAAAACTTGACTTCTGCAGGCCGTATAGCAGTTTATGTTAGCAACGCTACAAACAAGCTAGGGGTTAGCAAAAAGCCATTTTATTCGCAAAATAATTGGAAGTTATTTTACAAATATACAAACTGCTGCATATGCATTAAACATTTAGGTTAACGTTATATTTACCATCCATTGTCTCCCGGACTGCGTTTAGGTTAGCATTTGCTGCACTTGCCATGGTATTGAATGGCTACAGTTAGCCAATGTTTGCTAGCAGGTGGCTAATAAATAAGACTTGACGAGGTCTCTGGAGTGGTACAAGAATAATATGGTACTGGAACAGCTCAACTAGACTTTAAACGCATCGTATTCAGTGTTGATAAAATCACCAAAAATTTGGTGTCACCGAGGATCCATATTAGCATCTAGTTAGCTACTTAGCTTAATTCTCAGGTCACTGACTCAAACTGGAGAAGGAATTGACGACATGTATTTCTTCTTTGGTGGATTCCGATTGGTTATGACAAACTTCCTGTGACGTTTCTATTGGCTAGTGAGTCTTGTGGGCGAAATTGAAATAAACGTTTGAACATCTCTGTGATTGTTTGCTAACTCTTTCAAGGAGATTGCTTTATGCGGTGTATTTCTAAGTCGTGGCTCATTAGAAGTTGTAAGTATCAACGATAAAACGTATATAGCTGATGTGTAAATGTTAAATGAGTTTTTTAATAAAGTGGAGTGTTAAGAAAAAGGACAGGAGCAAACGTATGTAACGTTATGCAACCACATTCTTTCTATAGTAGTCAGCAGTTTCGTCGGAAGGCTAGTTAAGGCTGCACAAATAGAGGAATTAACGTAATTTAGCTAACGTATTAGATTAACGAAATACAGATTGTCGTTTGCTTGGATTATGCTTTGGCAATTTTATTTCTGTAATTTCCTTTTCTTTTATACTAACTAGAATATTGGTTGTAGTCAGATACAGATGGGGGACCGTGTTGAACTACAGATTACTCCAGAGACTCCAGGCAGACCCTCCATTAGAAACCCCTTTGAAAGTCCCAATGATTACCACCAACTCCGGGAGCCACTGGTGCCAAGCCCATCTGTCTTCAAGTCCAACCCTTGTAAATCAGTACGTTGGAATACCTGTCACATCACAATTTTTATATAAAATAATTGATGACACACGAGGACACCCACATCCTAAGTTACTGCAAATATCTAAATAATGTAATATGTCAACAAGTTTTGCTTTACTGAGTGTGTATAGTCTTTGGTTTATTTCCTCATCGTGTCTTTCCCCAGACTCCACCCAAGTTTAACTGGTCTATTGATGAAATGGCCAGTCTTCTCCCAGTAGACATAGACCCAGAGGAAATTCAGCGGCAGTCTTTTTACCTCAGCCAGACAAAGTATGTACTGCAAACACAATAGTCAGAGTACTTGTTGTAGTCTAGATGTGTGGGTAATTGGGATGATTTTGACTTTTTTTTTTTTTTGGAATGTTTTGGTGACTTAATGAGTTTATATGTCGTACATTCACTACTGGTCAAATGTTTTAGAACACTGCTCTTTTTTTTCAGTTAATTCAGCAGTTGAATACAGCTGTGGCATTTTTTCTACAACTGAAATCAGATATTGTTTGATAGATAGCACTATTGCAGAAGTTCCCACACACGTTTTGCACTTCTAGGTCACTTTGCTTTGGACACCTGCATCACTTTTCAAGGCTTAATTTACTTCCACTGTTGCAGAAAATATGCAAGTTAACCATTTGGTTTCTGAAAAAGGCCTGTTTTATCTCTCTCATATCTCACCTGTTTTATATGAAATACATTTTCAGTTTTTGGTGACTTTTCTTTTTAGCTTCATACCATTTAATGCCATTCACTGGACTTGAACTACTTACATCTCAATAAAAACTGGAAGCATGGGTGTGTTCCAGAACCTGTGACTTGTTGTGTAGCTTGTTGTGTATTTTCCTGAGTCCTAAATGAATAAACCTTTTTGACTTCCAAAACTCTAGTTCGGATTCTGACATTGAGGAAAAACGTCAGAATGCTATTGAGCAGGTATGCTGACAGTATAAAAATAGAGAAGTTGATAAATTAATTTGACTTAATTGTATATGTAATTGTGTCATTGGTCTGTGTTCCAAAAAAAGTTTTTCACGAAAGGTGCCATTGTGCCTTCCCCCTGGGCAGAACCAGATTCCCACAAAGCCCCTAAGATCAATAAGAAAAGTGAGTTACCTTAGCGCTTATATTACTTTTTAGTTTAATTTTCCTTTCTGTAATTTGCCTTTAAATTTTCATGTTGTATTCTGGTTTTATACATTGAGTATTTCATGTTTATGTTTAGTGCTGACAAAATTAATTGATTTTGGTAATCTACTGAAAATAACCATTTTAATAATCTATTCCTTTTATAAAATGTATTTATGTATGTATGTTTATAATGTATCCAAAAAAGCCTGTCATTGGTTTCAACGTGTCAATGTAATTGCAAACTAAATATGCAATTTTTTTCTAATCGATCTGTACTTTCTGACATTTATAGAGTAAATGATTAATCAAGAAACCAATCAGCAGATTGTTTGATAATGAAAGTTAGTTGCAGCCCTATTCATGTAACTGTGTTGTTTCCTTGCACATATAGGTTCTATGTCTTCAGTTATTGCTGAGGAGCCAGAAAACATCTCAGGTTGGTGTGTTCTGTGAGAGAGTTTGACATTAATTTCTACTCTGCCCCAGCAATTGTTTTTTTCTTATCTGTTAACTTGTTTTTGTTTCATGTTTGCTTTACAGTTGCTTGTCAGACTACTCTTTCATTACCTTTGGCTTTTGATTTGGAGAAAGTACTAGGTAGGCCTCTAATAAATGTTTACACAATCAAATCAGTGTGTGTTATGACAGAGTATGAAAGTATGAGAGTATCCACTGTGTTTCTGTTTCTTCCCTCTGCTCAGGGGAATATTACCGCTACGAGGAGGCGTCTGATTCTGTGCAGGAGAGTCTTAGTTCATCCTCCTTAAGACGAAAACTCTTTCTCGATGGCCAGGGCAGTTACAGTGGCTCTGACGGCTCCAGCCCGCCAAGCCCAGAGAGAAGCCATGCCAGGCAGGAGAGGCCTTCTCTAACTCCAGGGGAGACTGCTGTAGGAGGAGCTGAAGGTTCCGAGGGAGAAGCTATACTGTCTATCTTTTCCTCCCCTGTAGCTTGTGGTATATTGGCTCCAACTCCTTCTACAGTGAGTGGACAAGTGTAGTAATATAATACAAATGGTGATTATTTCACCATATATTTGGCAAGGCAGTTTTAAAGTACAGTGTATGTGGATACATATTTGATTTTTTGCTATTGTATAATTTGAATTTGTAAAAAAAAATCCTGCTTTTTTTTTAAAGTGGCAACAGATTAAACATTTCTTTTTATGACCATAATATAAGTAGGTCATATTGACTCTAAATTAGGCATTATCCGGAAGGGCATCCGGCATAAAACATGCCAAGTTTAACGTGCGAGTCGTCAGTTCAGTGCGAACTGATGATTCGCTGTGGCAACCCCTAATGGGAACAGCCGAAAGCAGAAGAATATACTGTAAGTAGGTCATATTGTATTTCTGAAAAAAAATTTCATATTTGCCTTTTTCTTTTTATGGAGTGACAGTAAAATATCAGTGGTGAATGTCCTTCACTGAACTGAAAGTGTTTTAGGCCCTCAGCCAAAGATCTCGTTTATAATCATTAAAATAAAAAACCAAGCAATAATTTCTCAGGTTTAAGGGGTTTTATTTTGTGTTTGTATCAGACTGTTTATTTAGGTCACCAACTCTGTTAAACAAATGTATATTTGCTTTGTCTTAACTACAGGGTCAGTTGTCATCCAGCCCCATTCAGCATAGCTGTTTACGGGACTGCAGCCTCGGCAGCATCACCAGTCCTCTGTTCCCTGATAGGTCATCTCCTGCTGGCCTTGTCTCCCCTACAGTCTCTCCTATTGTTGCACATGCAGCGCACACACCCATAAGCTCAGGTAGACTATTTGTTTTGTAACTCATACCAAAATTGTGATATCCAAAGCATGGCAGCAGGGGAAAATAAAGCTTGTAGATACTCTGATGACATTAACTGTTTTTCTCTACAAAATCTGAAACTGTTCCTTCTTTAGCTGAGAGAAGGCAGCCGAGCAATTTGACTCCACATGGTGTTTCCTTGGACGTAGATGTCACTTCGTGCAATGCGAGTCCATTTGTCGAGGGCTGTTCTCCCATTCGTAGCTGCTCCCCACACCAGCTCCATTACCATAATGAGTCCCAGCACAATGTCAGGCCCAGACCTAGGCCCAGAGTTCGCTTTTGGGCCTCCCCTCCCCATATCTCATCCATCCTCAATCCTAAACTCCAAGACAATGAGGAGGCTGAGGACCAATTCTCCTGCTCCTCCTCCACTTCTTCTCCCCCCTCTATGGAGCTCGACCAGTCTTCACCCCTGGCCCAGGATGCTCTCCCTGCTGACACTGGGAGTCTTGGCCTGGATCCTATGGAACCTATCAAAATGGAGGAGGGCAAGGAGATAAGGGTGCAGGGTGAAGAAGAGGAAGGTGGAGGGCCTTCGGAACAGCTGACCAGCTCTCGTATGGGCATCTCAGCAACAGAAGGCTCTCAGATGTTTGTATCCCTTCTGGCAGAGGGAAGCAGTATACGCTGCGATTCCAGCATGCAGGTTTGTGTGAGGAGTTTCATTCAGGCACAACTATTGATTGGTTGTCTAACTGACTGGACTGCTTTTTGTGTCTTCAGGTGGACAGTGGGTACAGCACTACCTCAGCAGGCACTGCCAGTCTTATAGATGGCCTCAGCTCGGAGTATCACAACAGAGAGTCCTTCAGTTCAAACCTGCTAGAGGAAGCTTTCCAACTCAGTAGGCACACAAAAGTAAAGGTACTGTATATAAACAGGGCTGTGGATATGCAGGTTTGTGTGTTTAAATGTAATGCAACATTAGCACTTATTTAAACTACATTACTGAAATATCTTCTAGACTTTACTAACAGTAATTTGTGAATGCTGCAAGGCTTTATTGGTTTTTTCTTTCATCTTACTAAAAGAAAGTTTCTTTTTCAGGTATTCTATCCTCACCCCTGAGACATCTGATAAATGCATTTGCATTCTTCCAGTGGAAGCTTAAGGTGATTATTTTGTAATCAAATATAACAAAGTTTACACTATGTTGGAAGCCTTTATGTTGAATTTACTTGATTAGGGTGAATCGGGTCAACTGTTAGATTGATTATGATCTGAATTTAGGGGGTTTCACAAGTGGTTTTGAGTTCTTTCAAGATTCAAGTTGCCTGAAGCAGTATACACTGTGCCTTATCACAGGATAGAAGGGAGCAGACAACTCATAGCCCATCTTAATCCCACTGTAAGATGATGAAAACCCAGTATAATGTTGTGATAAAGGGAAGAAAATAGTCTGTTCCGTATCAAACATGCACAATTCTGTATTGATGCCAATGCCATCATTTTATCTGGTGCTGACGTGATTAGGCTGAAGTCACAGTTGTACTGTATTTGTATTTATAAAACCATTTATCATTATGTTTTTATGGCAAAAGTTTTTTTTTTTTTTTGTAGTTTCTTGAATGTTCCAAGAGTTTTTCAAATTCAGATTAGTTGTGGATCTTATTTGGATTTTTAAAATATTTATTCCAGTGTCATGCTGAATAGTCTGAGTAGTGAATCAGTGCTGACTGAGCCTTTTTTTTTCTTTAAAGCATTTTTCTGTACTTAAAACATGTCAGGATTAGTCGCACTGTCACTTGAGGACTTTTTTTTTTTTTTTTTGAGGTATACAATTTTCAGTACTGAGTATTTTGACATAATGGTTTGGTCCAACATAAAATTCAGCATTTAACACTTATTAGTTCTTGTAATTTCTTTGTTATTCTTAATGTTGTAATTTATAATTCTGTTCAAATTACATTTGATGAAATTATGATTTCAAATACTTTTGGAATATACAATTTTGATCTTGTAACAGTAAATCATTTGACTGAAATTAATGAAACGGTTTTATTTTTTTTATCTAGGTTTGAATACTTGGAATGTTGATAGAATGCTTTAATATTCCTTTTGTATACAGTTCTTAATGTATGGTTGTAAAGGAGACTGTAGACAGTAACTCATTTCTTAGTGTTACAAACCAAGCACTTCAGGTTTTACTAATTACAAGTCACGCTAGGCCAAGAAAACACACAGAGCCAGACAGATTAAAAAACAAAATGCTATTTATTGAGTTACGACTACACTGTTATCTGACAAGTTAAAGTACATTTATGACATGCCACTGTCCTATGTGCCAGCATGTGTCTTAAATCATATAAAAGAGGCATGTGTAAGCTCGGAGCAGTGTAGCTCGACTGTGGGTAGATTTATTAAAATGGGCACACGTTCTCAACGTTAAAAAAAATTTTTTGTAACTGCATTAAAGAGCCCAAACTCATATTTTTAAAGGTGGAATCAGTCCAGTTTTGGTTTCTTGGCCTGTGGTTCAATGTCTGGGGCTGGGACACTCACACCAGGGATCTAAAATAAAAACAGGTAACAGGAACAGAATGCTGAAGCAGACGTATAAAATGTTATTTGATGCAAGTTGGATGAATTTTCTTATTGGGCCTAGATGAAAACAACATGTTGAGTATCCTCATTAAATTTTGTATAATACGTTTGATCAGCTAGAGCACAAAACAGGAGAAGAAAAATCTCATGTTAAAGTTAAAGGCATAAAAAAAATCTGTAACTGTACCAGTGGTAATGTAGTAAAACAGATTAGTCAGGCCTTACCACAGGGTCAATCAGAGCCATGCGGATCTTCTGGTGCTGAATATTGGAGTCATCAAGGCTGATGGTGACCTTCACCTTGTCAAATATGTGGAAGGTGTGCTGCTCTACGTTCAGAGTAGGACCCTTAACACATAGAGAGATTTTAAACTGTTGTCTAATGGTTTATCATGTTGAACTAACAAGTTATTAACACACTGACTACTTGTCTTTGACACATTAAATTAAGTGTTTATACCTCTTCATCAAAAACAAGGTTTGGGGCTGTTTTGTCTTTGGTGTCAAAGAAGACTGTTCCCTCCAGGCCAAACTTTGGGATGAGCACAATGATTGCGTTCTTCCTCACAAACAGAACAAATCCCTCTTCGTTTACTATGCCTCGGTTCTTGAAGAACAACTGGAAAGAGATCGTTTGAATTATAAGCATGAATTTGGGATGTGTGGGGTCTGTTCTATTTGCTAGTCTAGCATTACTCAAACCAATGTGACGTTATGAATGGACAGTGTGCTGATTCTCACTTTAGGCTAGTATCACGGTTTTTTCCAGACTGTTTATGTGTAGGTTTCAAACCAGTTAACAAAAAGCCAACCAGTGTGTCTGTGTGTTTACCTGTGTGTGGAAGGACACAGATGCCCTCTGTGCGTACTGAGCCATTTTATGTCTGTAGTTGAGGTTGATGCAGAGGGCTGACTGCTTATGTTTGTCCATCAAATCTGGGTAGGTGCTGTCTGCTCCTATGGCCGCTGCCAGCAGGCGGTGTACTATAATATCTGCATACCTGTGTAGGAGAGGTTTACACAGAAAGAAAAGGGGAAATAAGGGATAATATAAGGAGCTTAAAAAGAGCTTTAAGCTGTACACATTTTTTTAGTTTTAAAGGCTCAACTCAACATATTTAGTTAGGATGTGTAGAATATCTCCTTTCATACCTCCTGATAGGTGATGTGAAGTGTGTGTAAATGGGTGAAGCCAGGCCATAGTGGTGGAAATCACTATCCATGCCAGAACAAAAGTAGACAGCCTGCATCATGCAGCGAGTGGCCAAGATGCGCAGTAACGTATTAAAGTATGGGAACCCATCCACTCTGGCCACATCAAGGGAGTCTGCCAGTGCCTTGGCTGAGTCTGTGTGAATCTCCACATCCTGACAACAAATGGAAACAAAGATGTTGACACTAACATGTTTATAACAGAAATCATAAGCATGGTTAGCTTTATATAATATAGGCACAGTTTTGTCAAAGAAGATTTCATACTTAATGAGTTAACTGCAGATTCCCAACCTGGGGTCCTAGTACTTCTGCAGTTGCTTGTGCATCTGTGGCCTTCCACAGATACAGACTGTATAGCCATTATCATTCAGTTCTGTTTGAATCACTGAATAAATCTGAGATGTGGGCAGTGATTCAGGGGTCTAGAACCAGGTTTAAATGTGATTCAGTTCACATTTTACATATCTGAAGGTATTGGCAATTAATGGACAACACCCTCCATTCCTCCATAACAGGCAAGATGAACTGAATTATCAGTAAGAAACAAGCATCCAACTTGAGAAACCAAAGCCATTTTTCTGTAAGACAACCTGTCTCCAATCACCTTGGATTTTGCAGCCTTGAGCAGGATGTCGTAGTTAGATGGAGGTGGTGGTGGATGTTTCCTCAACAGAGCACATTCTGCAAATTCATCATAAATCTTCTGGGCAACTGAAATATTGGCCAGCAACATGAACTCCTCTACCATGGAGTTTGTCTCCCTAAAAACAGAGAGAGAGAGAGAGATGGCTTTATCTACACATGTCCAAAACGCAGCATGACACACACAGACATACAATGAAAAGCTTAAAGCTGAGCTTTTGTGGAGAAAAGGTTACAAAAAGCATTTTGCAGAATACTCCTTTTTAAAGTTACCTACATGAGTTCTTTGGTCTGTAGGTCAATGGGGTCATGAGTTTCACTGTCCATGTGGAAACGAACCTCCATGGACGACAGTGTCAATGCCCTAAAAGATATCAAATACAACACAGAACACAATTCATGTTAAATACAACCAGTTTAACTAAGTTATAGGAGTTATGATACAAACAGCTGTGTTTCTGATTTCTTCCTCATATCTCCTAATTGCTTTTACACATGCTTTTGATTTGTTAACTTGAATACATGGCTCCTGATTTTGAGAGCAACTGAGCCACATGTAGACCAATAAACATACACATCAATGCCTACAGCTTTAGAATGTACCATTCTACTATTCTCTACTGCTTAGTCCTTACCCCTTCTCTATCCTCTGCCTCTTGAGGATTTTGGCTAGTTTATTGAGACCCCGCAGGCTCTTGGTGATACTGTCATTCTTGGTGGCATCATCAATTCTCATCTGGGCCTCAGCATAGGTCAGAGATGCCTGAACAAGATGGTGAAAACAGGAAATGTAATGTAACAGTATTACCTGTCAATACTGAAAAAGTCAATCATGCCAGAAACTAGGATGTTATTAATGTAATGCCTGTTGCTGCACATTTGCATGCCACTTTTGTACCTTGGAATTAATGACACTTTTTGTGAATCGAGTCTTGAGAATTTCAGCCTTGTGGTTCATCTCCCAAATACATGAGAAAGTCAGCCTTGTAAAATAAAAGTGACAAGAATCAAACACAAACGTCTTAACAACATTCAGAGTTGCAAAAAATAGTTTGTCTACAGAGCTACAGATCTTTGAGGTTGATGCTGGTGCATGATAATTAGTCTACAGAGTATAATTAAAGCAGTCTGGACTGATCTATTTATTCAATGGTACCTTCTGGGAAGAGCTGGAGCACTGACAACACTGATTATTGTGTTGATGCAAAAGTGTGTGTGTGTGTATATATATATCTTACAGTCCTCACCTCTCCACATTGGAGCGTAGGGAACAGAGATTGGAACTGAGCAGCTCGGGAACCATGTCTATCCTCTGTGGGACACAACATGAAGCTTGTGTAACTTGCTTTATTGTAGCTTTTTCAAGTCAAACTGGCTTTTACGAAAATCAAAAAAATTCTAACAACTATTCAACGATCAAGGTTGTCACAAATTGTGAGTCAAATAGCTTAAAACATGGCAGAAGTGCCAAGCAGTCTAGCACATCCTAAACAGATGAACAGACACATTGCTTTATGTTTTTTGTTTTGCTCTGTTGTCATATCTTTAGACAGTGACTCTCATCCTAGTAGTGAAGTTCAGACTTGGATGTTGGGAGAACATTAGGCCTCGTCTGGCTGTGTCTCCTCACCTTGCCACACAGGTAGACAGTGGTGCCACGGCTGGCAGCCTCTTTGTCCAGAGCGTTGCCAGGTCTGATGAAGTGACTGACATCAGCGATGTGGACCCCCACCTACAACAAACAAATAACATGCCAAGAGACTCACATGAAATATAAATACAAATAATGTTCCACTGGAGCATAATGGTGTATGAGTGTGTGTGTGAGGGTTACCTCAAGGTTTCCATTTTCCAGATCTCTGCAGTGCAGGGCATCATCTATGTCTGTACATCCTGGAGGATCCACACTGCACACTGTCAGATGCCTCAGGTCCTCTCTCCTCACCATGTCCTGTACCACACATCCACTTTAATATACTGATCTATACACATGTACTGACGAGACAGAAGCTCATAGTCTCACTGATAATTACTTGATGAAACTGTGACTAGAATACCGCTCTGTATCCCAAGAAATGTGGCTATTACCTCTGGTGTAATGGCCCACGGCATCTTGGGAAGGAAACTGAGTACAGCCTGAGAGAAGGCCTGGTGAGGGACGTCATGCTCCAGAAGCAGCACCTCCTCCTCTGTGTCCTTCTCCCCTGCACTGCCCAGACTACGCACAAAGTGACCCTAACAAAAAAGGAGAAAATTGTTTCTCTCCATGGACACACTTAGTGTTGTGTGCATATTGCTATATCGCATGAGAAGTGTGGTTACATACATATATAGGAAACATGAACAAATCAATTTCTTCTTAATCTAGAATATGGAGATGTAACCACTCATAGTAGGACATTAAAGTTCCAAAGATTTGACCGTCAGACTCACATTCGGATATCTGGAGTCTTTGGGCCAGCCGTCGATGGCCACCATGATCCTCTGGCCTGCCAGTGTGGACGCCTGACGTGTTTCAATGCGAATGCGTGGGATACGTCGGTCTGCTGGGGTGAAAAGGTGGCGAGTTGACTGAACAGAAAAGGAAAGGAGAGGGATGATCAGTGCTGAGGGTAAGAGACAAAAAAGTTCTGGACAGTTTATACAGTAGTTGATTTACAAAAATGTATAGATAGTCTTTACTGCCCCAGAGGTTTGTTTTCACAGTCAGGATATATTCCACACAGCAACATGCAGGTATATACAGTATATATTACACAGTATACTTGGGGGCATATACGTTGCATTCATGTTCTTGCCTGTATCCCCTGTTATCAGACTGACATGACACTGTCAAGGCAGTTTTCTCAGGGCTACTATGGTAGAAGG